CACTAGACGTCTCGTAAGGAATGACCACGCCCATGGTCCTAAGCATCACCCATCGCAGGATAAAGGCAGTTGATACAGTAGCCGTAATACATCTGCCCATCTGCAACAAGTGGGAATAAAACCCTGAGTACGAGAAGGTACTCAGCTAGACTTACCCGACATAACCGAAAATAAATGACACCAAGGATTATGAAGGCTTTATAGTAGGGTAGCTAACTCATTTGCAAAAGAAGCATTTTTAGCATTTCAAGAACCTTTCTAAAAGCATTATTGTCAAATTAATTCTTATTAACCTGTCGACTAGATTTGCACCTAAACTAGAGCAAACATAGGATTAAACGGGGAATGATAACCAGTGATCATTAAACAACTTCCATACTATCATATTCACTATAACTGTCCAAGTGTTCCATAAACATTTACTACGATGAAGTAACTCAAGTCAAGTGCTCACTGTCCAGGAGCGATGGCGATTCGAATCGATTCCTAACCAGCTGGTGATTTATTCCTTACACAAACCTCACTCACCCGCTAAAGTGAGATATTGATCACCGAGTCAACTTTCCAGGTATCTCGAGTTTGCCAGGAATCACATGTACCGGGGGCCGACTGACTGCACTTTGGTCTTATCATCTCGCCCGTGTCCTACCACACCGCTTCCCAAGACACAGGCGTCTTGGCAAGGGCAATCTACTCGGCCCGAAAAATCTCCCGCCTTCGCGATCGGAAGGTACTTTATCCGGCCACTAAATGTAAGTCATGCGTTCAACATGACTCGAGGCCCAACAACGGTCGGTCCTTAATCGACCTGAGCGGAAACACTACAATCCAAAACTCGCAAGTCTCCGTCCGGTCTCAACTTCATTTAACACTTAGTTATACCATGACTTCATAGTCATCCAAGCGAGATCCAGTAACCACCTATAGCTCGCAGGTGACGAAATCACCCGACTTCTACCGGTCTAAGCCATTTAAGCATTGACTCATTGCGCAGATACCGTGGTAACAAGGATATAGTATAACAAAGGTAAACAAGATATAATGCAAAGAACGGTTGCAAACAACTCCCCGAACGTAATGCATCAATTAAAGTAAAGCATTTAATTAAATAATTGCAAACCGGAGAAAAATGCTCGGGGCTTGCCTCTCTCGAAGGAACTCGGATGGTGATCGGGGCACTCGGGAAGTTCCTCAACGTCCTCCTCGTCGGCTTCGGCACTTCTGCGCGCACACTCTCGAATCGCTCCTCGGGCTCTTGGTATGACGATTTGGATTCTTGGTTTATGATCCCATGATGCAATGTGCGTAAGTGCTTATGCAATCGGTGCATCGGATGAGATGAATACAATGGATATGTTTGAATGCAAGGTAGTCAACATCATCCAAGAAAATATACTACAAGCACATGTCATCTATCGCATTCTCTTCTACTACTAATATGTTGAGTCAACACATCTTATTACATGCTTCAAAGATACACCAAAGCTAACATTATTAACTAACTTGCATTAAAGAGGATTATTTTATTTCATTTTAAACTAGGGCTACAACAACAACTTATATTTCGGTGCTTATAAAAATCTAAGAAAATTACAGTAGCATAGTACTACTCTAAGTAGACTACCATAAAATTTTCATGGCGTTTGGATAAGTAAAATAGTCTACACAAAATGACAAGGCATGGCGGGATTTATGAACATAAAAATACTTTGAACTATGAAAAGTGTCAAACAAATGAGTTAGTATTTTTCCTAGGTTCTTCATAGCATACAATGACTGTATAAAAATTATCACATGCATGTTTTATACAAAGTTTGCTCTCTAACTAAAATAACAAAAATCAGCCATTAAAGGTACTTGAACTACACCTCAAAATTTTCCCCATGAAAGACATGCATGAAACATATTTTTCTTAAGAAGTACATGACATAAGAAGATTAACAAACTTGGAATCATATTTTTCCTGAAGCCTATAGATTTTCTACATATTTTTCAAGTTATCAAATAATATACATGATTAAATAAAATTCTACAAAGAAAGTATCTCAAAAATGACATGCAATAATTTTCCCAAGTAGATCTCGATGATAAGGAACCTAGATAAATTTATTTCAACAGATTTGGAGCAAATTTGAGTACCCAAACATTTTCCAAACCATTTCTATTTTCAAATAATAAAGGAAAACGAAAAATAATTCATTCAATCACATCTTTGGCCACCATCATTGATTTCATCGACCACGGCCACTTTTTTTTTTCTTGGCGCCCGAGACGCAAGGGAGGGGGAAGAAGACGGCCCAAAGAGAGCGTCGACCCACTACCACTCTCTACCGGTGGTCGAGAGGCGAGGCCACTGCCGGGGCTTATGGCCTGGCGGCATGCTGATTCGACCACGAGGTCGGCGACCATCTCCGGCCGAGACAAAGCGAAAGCTAAGCGGCGCATGCGATGTCAAAGTGAAGATGGCGAATGCGGTAGGGTAGCTAGGCGGGGTCGGAGAAGAGAAGGAAGGTGACTTCCATGGCGGCGAAAGCACGGCGGCGCGCCATGGCCGTCGGTGGCGGGCTTGAGGCGCTACTACTGGCTCTCGGCGATCAGCAAAAACGCGAAAGCACGACTTGAAGGAGAGCGAGGCGGAGCTGCTGGGCGTGTGCTTTGCGGCCGAGGTGGTGGAGCCACGGCGAATTCGCCAATCCAAAAGTGCGTGCGCGGCAGCAGAGGCGAGTTAGGGCGCCTCGGCTCAAGCGAGAGGAGAGGCAACATGAATGAGCCAATGAGCGACCGACCGCTTTGGTGTAGTAGGCGGGCGCGAGGGCGGCCAAGAAGCCATGCCTGACACACACAGCATCGACGGCGGCCAGATGGCATGCCACGCTGTGGCGAAGCAAGCTCTCATGGCCATGATGGGCGCATGGCTGTGGCGGCAGGGCGGCAAGCGGCGGCGGCGATAGGCTAGGCCGAGCGAGTCGAGGCGCCACATGAGGCTGGTCTGGTCCGACTTTCACTGACTGCAGGCTGAAGTGAGGCGGCGGCGTGAAGAAGGAGAAAAAGTCCTTTTCAAATATATTTTCAAGGAATTTTTACATGCCATCTTTCAAATATTATTTTGAGCAAGAAAATGACATCTTTTGAAAATGTACCAAAAATAAAAGTTGATTAGAATTTAATTTTCTACAACTTTGCTTTTATGACCACAGCCAAATTCTTTCTAGATTTTGAATTGTAAGGTCAAAGTCCACGTTTAACTCAAAACGCTAATTTTTGGGAATTTATTTTTGAAGCCAAATTTTGAATTAATTTGAATACAAACTTTGCTCCAAAAATTGAACTAAACATTGCTAAATGATTTACAATAGTAGTCAAACATGTTTCACTAACCTAGCAAGCAAAATCAGGGCAAAACAACTCTTAAACAGGTGTATGCAACATTCAGGTTTCACACATGTTTCAAATGTTTCGAAGCAGTGTTTCAATTGTTATTTACATGATTAGGCATGTATGATTAGGATGTTTGATGATGCATGATATGTATGATTAGCAGTGCCTAAATGCAGGCATAACACCGGGGTGTTATAGGGGGCTACACCCGCGGGTGCGCTCGCGCGCACCGCCGTCAAGACCAAAATCCCCCAGACGATTCTACCCGAATCACCCAGGGGCTCGGGGGCTCCTGTCGGGTTCATAAACCCGGGGTCCCTCACGGACCGGTGTCCCAAACAAAGGCTCAGCCCAGCAGACGTCGTTGCAAACAACGCACAACTCATGGGCTGGCCAAAGTACCTAAAACGACAGGCCAGAAGAGCACTCCAATCACCGACCAGAAGGCCTGACCGAGGAAGAACAGCTTCCGTTTCCGACTCCAGCCCACCGCTCCAACCGGAGCGTTCACTTCGGGCTCCAGCCCGCTCCGGACGGCCAATCCGACCGGAAAGTTTGGCCAAAGCACCGCCTTCTACTCCGACCTGCGTCTCCGACCGGGGATGCGCCAAATCCCTGCTCACCGCTTTTCTTCGACTGGCGCGATCAGAGCCGACTAGGGACCGACCGACCGGGGACATCCTCTCGCTAAGGACCAGAAAACGGACGGAGAAAGCAAAGCAGGACGCACAAGTCAAACTACGATACCAGAGAACGTACCCTATACACCTGCAGAAACAATACTCTACAACCTCCCTGGCACAACAGAGCCCAAACAGTGTTGTAGACGCCGATATTTTTCCTACAGTATTGTGGGCGCCATTAACTCCCTTACGGTAAGGCTCCCCCAACATGCCTCTGAGCGTCGACAGTGTTGTGGGCGCCGGCCTTTACTATACCGAGTGAACATGGTGAAACTACTCACATGCCTCTGGGCATCAACAGCATAGCGGGTACCGACATCTACCATACCCGTATAAGACGACGTAACCTCCCACGTGCATCCGACATCCAACAGTGTTATGGACGTCTATCATCATCATGTACCCGCCGGCGTAGGCAACAAGGCTTAGAAGCAAACGTACTCCTTCCCTCTCACTTGTAAAGCCATCACCTTCATCTATAAAAGGGGATGCGCTCTCTCCCAACAGATTCAGGTCATTCTAGATTTATTAGATCGACCAAGCTCACTAGCACACAACAACAGAACCACCCGGTTGAAACCACGAGCATACGCTTGAACCCTTAGCTCATAGCGAAGCTCTTGTCACTCTCGGCCCTTCCGACCGAAGTCCAACCGGACCTCTTGTACCCCACATCTTTCTCCCTCTCATTTGTAACCTCACTACAAACTTCGAGCACCTGGGCTCAGGAATAAAGTCACCGACCGACTCAAACTGGACATGGGGCTCGTTGCCTGAACCAGTATAAACCCTGTGTCATTGAGTGTTAGGCCACCTTCAATCATAACGTACGACAAAACTAAAAATATTTACTTGTTGATCATTTTCTACACCGACAGTAAGACTGTTTGTTACAAGTCTACAGCATAGCAAGGGATCAATGAGAAGAAAAACGCATACCATTCGATCACTGAAGATGCTCCGTTCTACCAATCTAAGTGGCTTTATCCTCCAGAGGACTCCTTTTCTTGCATGAGCCTTGTTACAAACACATAATTTTGGAAGGTGTAGGCATATCTCTATGGCTCCGCGTAAAAGGCACCTAAAATGTTGAAATGATCCGGACCAACATCCTGCCATTTTGACACTGGCTCAGGTACAATTTCCACAAGATCACGAAGTTCAACTGTCTCATTGGCAATTTTCTGTAGGAAGGTACACTTCCCCACGCTGATGTTTCCCTCAACACAAAAGGTGATTCTCTTGTCCCTGGTTGATTGCATGACAGGTACCTCACTCTTCTCTTTCAGTTCCCCAATAACACTGTCTTTCACGAAGGATGTTATGCTCTCTGCATGGCTCTTATGAATGATTCCAACAGAACTTTGCAAAAACTGAACCATCTTCTCAGCAGACCCACCCACAGGCTGCAGCATTTTGAGAAAAAACTGTTAGAGCTCTCAGAGACAAGCATAACAACAGACTTTGTAAGGAATCTATTCAGCCATTCACTTATGTATTCGGAAACACTCCCAAAAGGCCAAAACAATGATATCAAAGACACCACATGCTGAACCCATCATTCATACAGTTTGATCATGTAACACTCTGGAAACACTTCCTGAATATTCCTAGCTTCATAACTAAGTGAACCAATAGGAACTGAAACTAACTCTGTAATCAACCTCCGCTATCTCAGGACTCAGGCAATGAAGTGGCAGAAGTACACACGATGCAACAAGTAATCCTTATGCCCAGCCCAAGTGTTTGAGATTTCAATTTGCAACCGCAACAGAGAACAGGCATCAAGATTTAATAAGAGGAGGAACTCTCTGCATTATGCATTAGGGATCAGGAAGCTCTAATAAGAAACCTTTAACTGGCAATGCGGCGTGCTCTCTTGGGACTTCCTCAATGCAACTTTAGGAATCATAAGAAATTAAGGCGAACTGAACTTACCAAGTGCTACATTTGTCCAGATAAGAGGCAAACAAAGACAATCCCATGGATACAGATACAGATACCAGTTTTGGATTTCGGTGCAACCCCTGACTCGACTATTACCACGGTATTGACTGTTGAGCATGACGAACAGGAGATAAATGCCAGGCTCTCTTCCCTGACAACGCATGTTTTCTCATTAAGGCCAGTCTCAATGGCAGGTTTCGTTTCACTGTTTCCAAGAATGCCACATCTGCAGCTCTGAAACTGTGCGTTGAAAAATGAAACTGGCTCTCTCAGCCATTGCCGAACTAACACCTTCAGTACAAGATCCAGTCCCACATTGCGTGTTCTTTGCAATTCCAAGGATCTATTTCAAGTTCCTTAGCTATGGAAATCAAGAAAAAAAAAACGATAGAGGTGAATATACCTTATCAGTGTACAGCTGCTTCAGGCGCGCGAGATCCCAGAGCCCGCCATCGACGAGTTTCCGCAGGTTCCGCGGCCCGACCCCGGGGATGCCCAGAAGCTCCACGCTCTCCCTCGCAGGAACACCGGCCTCTTTCCCGGCGCCGCCGGCGCCCGAACTGCAGGTTGCAGGAGCGGCGGAGACGGGGCGCAGGAAGGGGAGGGAGCCGGGCGGAGGACGGGTGGCATCGCGGCGCGGTCGGAGGAGCTACGCGCGCAGGCGGCGGCAAGGCAGCAGTGGCGGAGGGGGACGGGGATGGGGAGGAAGAGGCGGCGGCGCATGGCCGGCGGTGGGAGGCGGGGGCATTGGGGGTTTAGGGTTGTGTGGGGGTTTTGGCGTGGAGGTCGAGGGAAGACAGGGCTGCGTGTTGCCCGGCTGCGAGCAGAGCAGGAGTGCAGCACAGAGTGTAGTGCCCTCCCTGCTCTGGTGTGTGCTGCTGCAACAAGGTGGAGGCACGCTGCCGTATAGGGCTGTGGATTAGAAAACCAACAGGGGTTTCCTTTTCTATGGCCCAACCAAAAGACGTTTCTTTTCTTTTTCATTTTGTTGTTTGCTCTGGTTTCAATCAATGAGTATAATGCTAGCTATCATAGATCCAGATATTGGTTTTGGACATGTGATTTGTGAAATGACTGACTACTAGAATAGAGGTTATTACACCCTCCATTGTAAAATATAGGACGTTTTGCCTTTTTCTATATAGCTTGTGTTATATACTTAGATATAAAGTATGTCTAGATAAATAAAAAACAAAAGTAATAAATCTAGAAAAGCACAAATGAAGGGAGTATTCTTGATGAACATTGAGAGATTGTCTCGGTCACCAAATATCTATCAAAAAAAACATGATTGTGCACAGTTATGTTTATCTTAATTAGAAATATCTTCACGTTTAATTCTTCCTCTCGTCTCTGTATAAGGCCTAAAGAATCAAAGAACCACTAAAACAAATCACCTTTCTTATGTGACGAATGTGGTTCTAATATAAGCCCTTCTTTGTTGCAACATCAACAGATCTTACCTACTGAGAGGTTGATGGATAAGATAGTCACTCTAAGCTATCGATTGTTCCAATCAAGTTTCATGACACATAATCAATCTACTACTAGGAGACAATTATAGCATTTTCTATCTAAATATTAAATTCTTTCTTGTCAAATAAAAGAATTCATAAGTGAGACTTTATTTGATAAAGGAACATCTTGACCTCAAAGTGGTAAAAGCTCATAAATGAGACTTTATTTGATAAAGGAACAAAAATATTCCCTTGTCTTGTTTGTATAGGGAGAAGCCCTAGGTTTATACTTGATTCACATCATGAAAAGTCTTCCTACAACTTTAGAGTGATGAAAACATAAAGAGATGTTACAATTATTTTTGTACTCCATCAAAATATTGAAGTCCAAAAGTTTAGACTGACGGTGATAACCAGTAACGTAAGTGTTGCCATCAAGTCTCATAACCCAATGTTGGAAGAGGTAATAGAACCATCTTCTTCTTATAATATCCTAGCGTGCACGGAAAACAAAGGCCCCCTCTCTGGACAAATAGAACCCATTCTAATAATTTAGAGGTTTGAGGGTAGTTTACTCAAAATAGAGTAACTTGTTCTTGTTCCATTCTATCACCAAAATCAAACAACTAAGACAAGATACAAAACACTAGAGGGGGCAATGCCCCCTCCCTAGACACACACAAAACGATGCTTCCATATTTAGTTAGTATTAGGAATTACTATTTGTTGTCTAATGAATAAGACTATAACATTTCTAAAACAAAAAATTACAAGTATGTAAAAAGTTTGCATGATGGAACTTTCTCCTCGTGAGAACCAGCAGAGTACATGTCCTATTAATTTGGAGGTCCTAGGCGAGATAAAATCTAAAAGTATTTGACTCAAAATAAATTACTCCCTCAGTCCCAAAATAGTTGACGATATAGGATTCAAATTTTGTCTTAAAATACTTGAGCTTCTCACTTCTCAATGCACATTTATCTTCTACCAACACACTGTTTCTTTTCCCATCATTATCTCTCCTTCTCGTTTTCTGTGCACCACACTTTTTAATCCTCCTTAATTCCCGTGTCCAAATCTAAATCTAGATCGTCAAATATTTTGGGACAGAGGGAGTACCATCCTCCACTTTGTCTCCAAATCATACAACTAATATAAGAGACAATATACTAGTGGGACAATGCCCCCCTCCCAAGACACACAAAAAAACGATGCTCCCATATTTTGAAACCCTTTTGCAATGTAATTTTCAAATATTTCAAACTTTTGAATTTTAAAAACAACTCACATATTTTTAAACCCTTTTCAGAGATATATTTGTACCAAACTATTTCAAAAAAAATTAGCACATATTTAAGTTTTATTTTAAAAGTTCCATTTTTGGAAGATTTTGAAAACTATTTTTTGTGAAATTGAAAAATAGAATATTATTGAAGCCTTTTTCAAATATATTTTGAAATGCTTTTAAAATACATTTTCAAAGGCTTTGAAAAGTCAAATTTTAACTCATTTTAAAAAATAGTTTCTAAAACAAACTTTAGATAATTTATTTGTGGTAAATAAGGAAAACCTATTCTAGACTTAAATGAAAATTTTAAATTTATTTTGCGCATGAGAAAATTAACGCAAAGGCATGGAATCCAACAATCAAGTTAAATTATAAGAAAAAATATAAAATCAAATTTTCTCTCTATTAATTTTAACTACTTAAATAAAGCTTGATAAATTTTATTAAAATATCATAATTATTTATTTTATCTAGTGTTTCCTATTTACATCCTAAACTTGAAATTTTAGGGTGTGACAGCTACCCTGAGCTAAGAGGTTGGGAGCTGAAAAAGTAGCTTCGTCTGATTCACTCCACATACAGAGTCACTTTATGCATAGATATCATAGAGAAACATTTTCAATCAGAGAATCATTTCTTAGAGAATTAGCGACCAAACAGACCCTAAACCTAAACCGTTTGCCTGGCTATGAAGCCCATGGAAATCTCAGTGGACTTGAAGCCGGAGCAAGATTCGGCCCAATAAATCCCTCACAATTTTCACGGGGCCCAGCCTTCACAATAGCGGAATTCCGAAATTTGAAATTGTCGCCTCCTCGCTTTTCTGCCTTTTCACTCCCACCTCCACCGAGCGTCCAGGGACGCCACCGGCGACGACTCACCGCAGCGGTGGAGAACGGATGGCCGCTACGGGCGGCACTCGGAGCCCGGCTAAGCGGCCGGCCCACTCTGACGTCTCCTCCTCCGGCGGCGACTCCGATTCTGACTCTGACGGGGACCTCGTCAGGTACGGCCTGCCTCACCTCAGCGCCTCCCCTCGCTCACGGGGTCGCTCTAGAATATTCCTCTTTCGATTTGTAGCTCGTTGGATTGCGGACGTTCTGTTTCTCCTTCGTTTCCTGGGTCCTGGCATGATTTGAGATGTTCAATTCCGTGGTTGCGGCGGCAGTGACCTCAGGGAGATCGTGTGCCTGCTGCGGCTTATCAAGGGCGGGGCCAACAAGGACGGGCAGAAGATCTGTGAGCAGATCGTTGCTAGGTGAGTTGCAAACCTGGAGGACTCCGAATCTCCTCGTGATTCTGCAAACAATTGGGCTAATCGCTTAAATCTTTGTTAATATCAATGTTTTCCATGATGCTGATGACTTGCGATTGCACTGACTATTGCCCGATTGCATATTTACATTCGGCAGTTTTTGATATGATTTCGCATATTGCTGGTGAAATCTGGCCCTATCTGCAGTCCATGCAATTGTGCTACCTTTTAGGCTTCAATGCAGTTTTGGCAAAAGAACTTGAAAAGACTCACGATTTTGTAATTTGTAGTGAATGGAAGGGAAATAAGGCAGTATTTTTGACAGTTGTGTAGTCCTGTGTATGGAGCTTTCTGTTTCTTGGATTAATCTTTGGTTGTTTTGTTGATATTGCTGTGCACATAGCTTGTGGTCTGAATTTCTTCCTAAAGTAATATTACTCTTGCAATGCAGCAAGAGCCTGTTGGATTTCTCTGTTATGAATTTTTCTGTTAATCGTGGGAAATCAAGATACTTTTCCTTTTATGCAATCAAGGCACATAGTATTATCTTTCCACTTTCTATTTAAAACAGCACTTCAAAATTGTAGACAACAGGAGAGTGTTTCACATGATAGCTGTAGTATCGTAATTGTAAGAGTGAGTTTATCTATGTGATTGGTCGAATTTTTCGCTCCTGAGTAGGCTAAATGCGTGGTCTACGATATCTGAAAGTCTTGTTCCTTCATCTGTATCACCAGAGTTTGTTGTTAATTGTTTTCTTAACCTGTAGTGTGGCAGCAGATATTCAGACTATGCTAGAAGAAACCCAGCTGAAATTTGAGGAGGAAAGGTATTTGATATTCCACATCCTCATGATTTTTTCCCCATTAACTTACTGAGAACATCTGAAGCCAGTTATAACTTACAAAGAACTAAACAAAAATATTCATCTTCAGTGAGAACACACTAATCTGTGTTCTATTTGTGCATGCAGACAGAATTTGCTAAAAGTACTGTCTAACACTTCCAAAGAGGTATTCATAACAACTCGTATTCCAGGGTTTTATTTTGTTCTAAAATGACACAAGATTTGTACTTCAGCAGTGTGAGAGTTCACTGAACGAAGAGTACAGCAAGTTTCAGGAAACATATGATACGTTCTGTAAAGAAAAGGATGCTCACATGCAGACTTTCAGAGGTAGGTCAAACAAGAGCGCCTGTGATGGTTGCTTCTCACCAATTTCTTCACTTACACATGAAGCGCGGCTCTTTTTTTCTTTCTAAAACAAGCTACTGGCCAGGATACTTGATTTGTTAATTAATTCATGATTGAATTTAGAGTACACCTTCGAATAAACCTGTGTGCTTTGTTTACTGAAGTTGCTTTTTGTTGCTATTTATACGAATGAACTTGAATTATGTGCCTTTAAAAAGCATGGCTTGACAAAAATATTAGCCTATCAACTGAAATCTTTGTATACTTTATCTGCAGACCTGTTCTCAAAAGTTGAAGTTGAGAAGAAGAAATTGCTTGAGAAGTATGAACATCATAGTAAGTAGTAGGATGACTTGCCAATTTTTGTGCGATGGACCGTTGTTTACCTGACTGACTATCATCATTCTTTCAACCAGGGAAGACAGAGACCAACACGTTATCTGAACTTGACAAAACATTCTCAGAGAAGGTAACACATGCGGAACAATCTGTCAGAAGGGTGAAGCAGGTACATCTTAACATATATTTACATCTGCTTGCTCCGTTGGCACCGTATCTTCCTCTGATAATCCAAATTTCGGAGTTTGGGTCTTTCAGATTCCAGTACTGATTTCACATTTCAATTTCATTGCTTCATTTGTCGCAGGATGACAAGTCATTTATCATCTTTCGCAAGTCTATTGGCTCGTTTCTTGAGTGTGGCTCTGATGATGATTTTGACCTTGATGAGTGACGCTGCTAATGATAATTCATATAATATAGATAAACGGAAGCTCTTCATTCTTTCGTGGTATTTCCTCTTTTTTTTTACCTGGCGGGCTTTAGCAGTATACATTTTTTTATTATACTTTAGTAGTTCATTGTATTAGCCTTTTTTCCAGATTAGTTTGTTCGCAATCCTGAATTTGGTGTCGAGATGGCTGGATATGTACAGATGTTTTGTGTTATTTTTCCACTTTGAAAGCAGAGATTCAAAAATATTATTGCTCTGGAAATTATTATTATCGCTCAGGAAACTATTACTATTCAATGACGTCATTATAAGAAACAAAATTGATATTGATGTCTGATCATCCCATTCTAAGGGCAAATGTCTGATCATCCCATTGTACGTACTAAATAGCATGATTAATGCTTGCTTGCATGCTGCTTGGGAGGAGACACAGAATGCATGGCCAACTGAGCAAATAATGCCGTTTATTGCTCCTTAAAACTAGTGTTTTGCGAAATTACTGCTACTAGTGATATATTATGTATATAGGCATGTTTGATCCATTAGCACTAAAAATTAGCAGCTAAAATTAATACTAATAGATCTAAACAAACATGCTAATTATTAGCTGGAAGTTTGCTAACTATTAGTTCCATTGATAGATTTGTAATTGCTAATAGTTTATATGTACCTTCATCAACTCACTATCCAACCACCTATTAGCAGCTATTAACGGGTGCATCTAAACACTCCCCTACTAAAAATTAGCTAGATAAAAAATAGCAGCTATTAGCTAGCTAAATTTTAGTGCTAATGGATCCAAACAAGTCCTATATAAAGGCAATCGAGGAGTCCCTCGCTACTCACTGCTCGTGTCCAACCCAGCCATTGGCGCATTTCAGCTCCCCTGCGACTAAGGTCGAATACGATGGACAAAAGCGTCAAGGCCATGTTCCTTTTCACCATTCTCATTGGATCCCTAGCATTGCCAACACAGTGGCCCCGTTCACTTCGCTGAAAAAACAAACCGAAACCTTGTTCCGGCTGATTTGTTGCGAGAGAAAAACACTGTTCCGGCTGAAAAAACAAGGTGAAAAAACGGATTATAAGAGAAGCGAACATGGCCAGTGTACGTGTGGTATATGTGGCCAACCTGTCTTATCTTATCCTTAAGCTTATGTTTTATACTACTCTTAGGCCTTGTTTAGATACGTATATATTCGTCTCAATCTACATATATTGAAGTTGAACTAAACTAAATTTCATTCCATTTTACTTCAACACATGTGGATTGAAGTGAATACACATACATCTAAACAAGACCTTATACTGATAAATTCACACAAATATTCCATAGGTCGTCACCCTATTGGTGCTATCAACTCCACATTATCAGATGAGAAGACAAAGGTTAAGCTGATTTTTTGCGCTGAGGAGACATGCAATTACTTCCATCCTCATTTCGATAAGTGCTGCTGCTGCCCGGATGGAAATCGGAAACAATATTGCCATAGGACGTTGAACGAGTGTAGGGCCAACTGCGACTTCTGCAATCCCAAACGTATGCCATAGCTATATATTTAATTGTTGATGGAAGGTACAGCAATGGATCAAAGTACGAAGAACATGTCAAAAAGTATGGTCTGATCCTATAATGATGTTATAGGTCCGTTTATTATTTGAGGCTTTGAGCTGAATAATACAGTATGTTGCATTGTGATATAGCAATAATTTCATTGTGATCCTATAATAATTTCATAGCAAAACGCAAGAACAGGAATTTTTTTTCCTCCATTCTAAAAGGGGCCTAAAGATATAGCAATATTCAGTAATTTGAGCACCCAATATTCAGTAATTCCTCCATCAGCTGATTGTTCAATGCCATGCCGAAAACCAGGGAGCTAGACCTATGTGGTCCAAACTAGGATATGTAAAAAAACTATGTAACACAGATACTTCGATGCCAACAGACTAAAAAGCATTAAAACAGACTTTAATCAGATCCTGACATCATATTCCCAGCTCAATTCCACCAACAGATATGTTCCGAGGTCAAAACAGGGCCATGTACACCTGACACTCTCAATACATTTCATCGAAACGGAGGTTGTAAATGTGAGTCAGGCGATTGAGCCCGCCATTCATAATCACGCTGTCTACAGTCTCAAGCTTCCTGTAATGACAATTCAGATTGTCCTGCTGACGCTTTGCGAGCAGTGCCTCCTCTTGCAGTTCATTCTACAAGGATTCAACGATACAAGCACATTGCCAAATGAAGCAAATTAAAAGGCACATCACATGCAAGGACTGTGACAGGTCACATGACCCAGATAACATTGTTTTGCGCTCAAATTTTACTGCTGTAAAAACTTCTGAAGTGTGAGTTTTAGTGATAAGATTCTATTCTAAAAACTTATTTGTGATAGAATGATAGCTACTATTCAAGTTCATCAAATTTGGAACTGATGACGGTTTAGAAGCCAAGCCGCCAACCAAGAACAAGAATTTTACCTTGATTAGTGCTAAGTTCTCCAACTCATGCCTCTTGGACATCAACTTAAACTTTCTGACATTATGACAATCAGGGTCTGTAGGGCCCACCCAATGGAATTCTAACTTCCTTCCAGGTTTCCGTGGACGGTCATTGAACATTTCAGCTGTGGCATGCTTCGCCCTCACAGGCCTTGGCATCCCAGACAGCATGAATGGGAACTCATCTAGTATGTTGACCACGGACTCAGCATCCTTCTCAGTTTCCATTTCTACTAATGCAGATTGGGGAATGTCAAATGGAACTGTATAGTTGGTCAGAAAACTGACGCTTTTGACATTACCAAACTGGTTCAAAGCCATCGTAATGACTGCATCTGTAGCCAGGCGAGACAAGTTGTCAAGGTATACAGTTCTCTTAACCTTCTCCTCAAACTCTTTATACACTTTTGTGGCCTCCAAGAATGCAGTGCTGATACTTTGTTCCACAGCCAGGCCAACAGAGGTAGGAAGTTTCAGTCCGGAAGTGTTATGGCTGGTGTCAGTAGCTTGCACTGCAGAGGTACGCATCTTTTTGCTAAATTTCTTGTCATTAGATTGATCAGCGGGTCTTCTGATTGGGAAACAGTCATTTGCCTCTCCACACTTCCCTGCAGAGGTTTTCAGGTTCTTGCTTGGGTTGTTGATCTTAGCTTCTTCAGTTACTCTCTTCCTTGAGGTGTTGCTGTTTGTCTCATAGAGTAGCTTCTTGCTTAGGATATTTTCACTAGCAGCTTCACAGGGTTTAGTAGTGGAGTCGTTCTTTTCCACTTCACCTTGCACTCTTGTGATTGAAAGTTCCATGCTTGGGGTGCTGTCCATGGCTCCTACACATGCTTCCTTCTTTGATGTTTTGCTGCTCTCAGGAGGCAGCCCATTGCTCATAATGTCTGTGTGTCCCTCTTCACATGACCCTTTCCTTACAGGGCAAATGCTTTCTGTGTTATCTTGCATGCCAGCAGTGGTTGTCAGATTCAGGCCTGGGACAATGAAATTAGCCTCTTCACACACTCTGTCCTTTGACATGGTTTTGCACAAGTTGTTGCTGTTTGCCTGTTCACATAGTCTGTCTTTAGACATGGTTTTCAGGTTTCCATCTGTTGATAATTTGATACTAGGGGGCTTGGTGCTTACCTTTTCAATCTTCAGTTCAGTGTCAACAAATGTGGTGTTTTCGGCGGTGTCATTAGTATATTCAGGTACTTCCTTAGCAGCGTGTTTTTTCGTATCCTCAGGCAATCCTGTGCTCATGGTCTGAAGGCCTTCAGCCAACCTCTTTCTCAGTGGTAATGGTAAACGAATACGGATTTTGTTCCCAGTTGGGACAATTTTCCTGGCACTTGTGTCCATTCTGGCTTCAGCAGCCTGGTTTTCAGAGGCAGACATTTCATTGGCACAGAATATACTCCTGCAGTTTCGAAGTGAAATGGTAGAGTTAATAATAAAAATATTAATAATATTATTCAGGGCTATATGCAGAAGACAAGAAAATCCCTTTTGATTTATCAAACACACAATGAAGTCAGACTGGCACACTATATAACCTAACATAAAAATCTTAACGCCTTGCACATATAAGGCACTAAGCATCACAAAAAATCATCTCCGAAACAAAAGAATAATCAACCAAACAAAACACAGTATTACATGAATTTTCAAAGATACCAACCTGGTTTATTTAAAACAATCATGCTGGTAATAGGACCAAGCCTCTCCTCTACTGAACAAGTAAGCTATTAACAAAAGCGTATCAAAGTGTCTAATCTTTGACCACCAGTACCTCATATTGTGATGGAACATTTCAAAATACTGAGCAATATTGCATTAATACCAATGTATGTTGTACATACAAAGTTCGTCAAAATATGTACATACAAAGTTCAGTAAACCTGCATAAATACCGATGTATTTTTTTTCTTGAACAGGTAGGAGAACTGCGTATCATTGCATTATATAATAGAATAAGAGAAACATACAACACACCAGCACACCTCCTTTCCATGATGTTGCATTAATAAAAAAATGTAAAATCCATCCTAGATATTAAGAAACGAAACTGACAAGCTTTCAATCTGGTATTTTTCATGATGTTCTAACAGTACCATTTGTGTTTTTACAATCATAATATCAAAGATGAATGAAATCAATTTTTTGTCAGATTACTTGCTTTATGTACCTTACATACATGATTTTTCATGGAAATTGTTTGAAGCACTGCAACATGTTGGATTATTGTGTTTTTGCTAATGGGAATGCTGGAACCCCTGGCCACTAAACTACTTCCTATATTAGACATTAAAATGATTCTGCAATTTTGCAATGTCCTATGTGCTCCAATCTGGTTCAGGATTTGAGATTTTGACAATTTTGGTTTAGCAGGTTCAACAACTCCAAAGTTATAAATCAGATTGAAGAACAGCTCTTGTGAATCTTAATGAAACATATTTAACATAAACAGTTCATTGTTCCCAAGAAGGATCATCTGTTAGCAGCAATTAAGTGACCAACTAATTATATGTATATGATTACTACTTTACTAGGCATGAGTTCCTGAAACATGCCTTCCACGATTAGGACGATTAACATACATGGATTTCATTTGATGCTCGCAAAGAAATATAGGAGTACACAAACACTATATTTGGCAAGGTGATGGTCCAACGTAACACCAGAATCATGTTTAATTACAGTGCACCCTTAAATCTCACCACCTGGGACCTAAATGAATTTAATATGCCTAGCAAGAAAGCCAAAGGCAATCAACTCAAAAACCTCACCAGTGTCAAACTTTTTTTGGGGGGGCAAAATTCAGGATATAAGGCAGTTTATTTATCTGAACCTAATATTTGGATTTCTAAAACTATTATACTCTATGGCATGATTTCAAGTTAAAACAACTTATTCCCCTCTAGACATATAGTATATAGGACAAACTCCAGAGTGTCACTTTAAATTATCTAGGTATTACATAATGTGCATTACCCACAGAATAAAAAACAGATCTACACGTTAGAGCAAACGCACTTTTGAAAAAATTGAAAATAAAAGGGGCAGAAAAGCAAAAAAAAAAAAAGAGTCCATTACCCATTACATAACACATGTCAAGTGCCAACATAGTTAGGACAGCATCTTTTCCAGTTTCCATCTGTAGATAAGTTGATACAAAGTTTTAAATTACTTTGCTGTTCTCATAAACATTCTGAGATAATACTGTATTATGCAACATGCCAACTGAGTGAACCTGCAATACTCTAACTTAACAGCTAAAACAGCAGAATTTCATAGAATTGGCAAGTATAAATTTGTACTCCTACTACTCCCAACATAGAAGAACATTCATGGTGACTGGTGAGATCACTCTGGAGTTTGTCCTACTACTCCCAACATAGAAGAACAGCAGAAATTAAGGCATCTGCTCCCAAACCGAAGTTAGATAAAATCCGAGTACCAAATAGCTTAGGGTTTGGGTGCTCGGTTTCGCACAGCAGAAAGGGAAGAGAGGGCGTTAGCAGACCTAGTGGGTGCTCATGGCCGGCTAAGATCTCGACGAAGGCCTTGGCGCCTGGCGTACGGCGGCGGCGGCGGTCGCTCAGTCGTCGCCACGGCAGTGAGAGAGCGCACGGGGGTGAACAAGAGAGAGAGAGAGAGAGCAGATGGAGACAGACTCTGAGGGCGTACGTGGGCCTGGAGACAGAGAGAGAGCGCACGCCGGAGAAGGTCCCGTAAGTGGGCCTGGAGCAGGCCTTGTGCTGCTTGGTTTCTGATCCAGCCCAGGGCGTCAAAAGCAGAAACTGTTTTCATCAGAGTAGAGTCCAATTTACCTTCCTAAACTAGTTACTAAATTTGAAAAACCCACTGAAACTTCAATACCAAACAACAAACATACCTCAACTTTCAAAACTGGACACAATAGCCCCTTTGATTATTTCAAAGTGGTTTCTTAGGTGGTTTTGCTTAAGTGGTAATTGGGCCACTTGTTAGGTGGTCTCTATCTTTGTCTTATATAAAATAATCATAACCTTTTCATATGAAGTCATATAAATAAAAACTTTATATCAAAACTATAGAGCTCTATATCACCTACAACTTTATAGTTGATATAATTCTTTTATATATGAGATGCTCAAATACTTATTTTAAGTTATTAGATTTAAAAATTCAAATTTTTGAATTTTTCAAATGATCTCAGTGTTAACATGGTCTATTAAGATTTACATCTTTGAATTTGACATCCTAAGATCATTTAGTGGACTAAATATTCATTTTAAATTTTTTTAATTTCGAGATTCAAATGATCTACACCAAAATTGCTGCTCTCAATATGGTCTACAACTTTTATGTTAAACATATTTTTATCTGATGTTATTTACAGATTCAAGTATTTGTTCTAAACTCTGAGATTTTGGGGTCAAAAATTTGAATTCCAAAATCTACCATTGTATTTCAAGCATCTACCAACACGGATGTGAGCCAACAATCAGGCAACTTCAAAATGGCACCAACATAAAGGGTGTGTGTCGACTATCCATGCAGACTTAAAAGGGAATTGCTGGTGCTCGGACGTCCGATGGGATAGAATTACGTCGGACGGTAACCTAGGCGCACTCCCACCAAACGCCCTAGCAGAACGACCCCTTAGAAAATACCATCGCGTGACCCTAGCTTTGGTCGCCAGCCCGCCTACCAGCGCCTGCGGCTGCGCCGTTCGCTTCTGCACGCGCACGTCCATCCCTGTTCGCCTCGTCCCGCCCCACATGCGTACCCCACCCCCATCCGCCTCTCGCCTCGTCCCGCGCCCGCCGCTCCTTCCCCCTGACACCCTCCTCTCTCTGTGTGCAGACAGGACCCGGGAGCCAGGATGAGGATGAGCACGGCCCGTCCGCAGGACCCTAGGTGCACTGTGCGCCCCTTCCCCCGGCGCTTGAGCCGTGTCCGCATGACTCTGAACATACCTTTGAAATACAAAAATACTTGTAACATGAAACACTTGAATGCAATAGATGTCTGAAGCAGATGAAACATTTGAAACATGCACTTGCAACATGTGTGTGAAACATATGCAACATCCAAATAAAACACATAAAACTTGCAACATGAAAACACTTATTGCAACATAAGACTGAAACAGCTAAAACATTTCGAACATACTTTTGCAACATATATGTGAAACATGTGCAATGTCCAGATCAAAAACGATTGCAACATACGTCTAAAATAGATGAAACATTTTGAACAAACGATTACAACATGCCTCTGAAACACTTGCAACTTATGCAACATCCTGATCTACTTTTGCAACATCCATATGAAACAATTGCAACATATATACATCTGATAACATCTGAAACACTTGAAGCATACATTTGCAACATAGGGGGAGGGTGTAATGCCCCGATCTGGGAAGATGGCTAAAGCCCACTCTACACGTTGAATGAACCACACCTGCTAATTAACTCTCTTGCGCTTTCGTCCTTGCTTCGCGCAAAAGGATCGATCCGGAGTTAACAACCTCCCAGGTCTAGGCTTTTTAACTTGGTTTAGCTCTCCTTCAGTTTCCAGTATGGTACTAACTTTCATCGCTACAGTGTTTTTTGCAGCTATAGTACCCCTGAATTTAGTCTGGCCCAACTAGCCCAATAGGCTGGGTCTCACATCCACCAACCCTCAAAGGATTCGATGTCCTCGTCGAATGCTGAACCAAGCTACCCTAGCAGGACAAATGTCTAGGATCGACTCGCTTGGCCACGTCCGTATTCCCAGCTCCCTGGCCCAAGTGCCATGCTCTTGTAGAGCCATGCGCAACCTGTCCGAGCTCCCGAGCCATACGTTTGTGAAACCGTGAGAGTTGGTTCTAATTACCATTTGTAACGCCCCGACCCAGGAAGACGGCTAAGGCCCACTCTACACGTTGAATGAACCACACCTGCTAATTAACTCTCTTGCGCTTTCGTCCTCACTTCGCACAAAAGGATCGATGCGGAGTTAACTACCTCCCAGGCCTAGGCTTTTAACTTGGTTCAGCTCTCCTTTAGTTTCTAGTATGGTACTAACTTTCGTCGCTATAGTGTTTTTCATAGCTACAATGCTGAATTTAGTCTGGCCCAACTGGCCCAATGGGCTGGGTCTCACATCCACCCAACCTCAAAGGATTTGACGTCCTCATCAAATGCTGAACCAAGCTACCCTAGTAGGACAAATGTCTAGGATCGACTCTCTTGGCCACGTCCGTATTCCTAGCTCCCCAGCCCAAGTGCCATGCTCTTACAGAGCCATGCGTAACCTGTCCGAGCTCCCGAGCCACACGTCCGTGAAACCGCAAGAGTTGGCTCTGATTACCATTTGTAACGCCCCGACCCAGGAAAATGGCTAAGGCCCACTCTACACAT